CACAATCTATCCATACTTTCTTCAGTCGGACGTGAACAATTTTATCGTTCAAATACAATAACAACAGATGATCTTAGATGCTAAGAAATATTCTTAGCAAAAAATTAACTAAATGTTATTAAAAGCATTTGAACACAGGTAACTATAAAACTTAATATACCAGCCTGATGGCTTTGTACGCGTTTTTACACAATATAGACCTTCTTGTCAGTTGACCAGTCCACAACAGAGAGTAAATCAAAGTTTTTACGTCCAATGCGCGCAGTTAATAGCGTCATTTACGCATTCACTGCTCATTTGTACACAAGAAAAGTATTTAAAATGTTATTGATTCGATAATATAAGTTAAAATGTTTTAAGTAATAAACGATTTATTAGCATAACGATTAAGTTAGCTCTCTAATTAGAATCGAAATTATACAGCCTATGTATTCTTCCAGGCTATCATCTATAAATTTCATTGAGTTACGTTGAGTTTAGGCTACAAACTCTAACAAAACCTAGATGAATGGATCGAACTTTCACATTTAAAATAATAGCAAGATATTATAAATGCGAATGTTTTGATGTAATTTGTCGCAGTTTTAGTACAACTTTCAAATCGATTGTGATTGAAAGGAACATAGAAACATTTCACAAGACAGTGCCTTATTGGGAATATGTTAGTCAATCTATGTAAACTGTCTTATTGTTTGAGCACCAAGGAAGTCAGGGTTTGTGTTGTAAAAGTATTTTAAGGACCAATAAAACAAGGAAGAATAGATGTTTGTTAGAGTTTGTAGTCTAAACTGCTGAACAATTCACGATGAAACTTGGCATAGATACCTATAGGGGATAATACCTAAGAACACACGCACTTACTTGTTTTTTTTGTTTTACGCTGCCTGAGTCGCGGGCAAAAGCTAGTCTATTTAAATCATGCTAAAGACTTCCTATAATTTGCAGAAAAACCGTTTTCCTATTGCTAATATCTTTTTTATTTGATTCCGCTGATAATCGACGAAATCTTTTTTTTTTAATTTCTAATCGTTAGTTGCGTTTCTTTAGCATGGAATTATTAAACGACGATAACATTTTTTTTGTTTTAAAGTTAGGCAACGCATTGATGAAACTTTTGCATTTCCAATGTAACTCAATGAAGTTGTTTTTGCGTTGTTTTTGCACCGTTTGTATGATTATATTCACGATTTCTCCGGACACAACTCTATCGATACAGTTTGTTGGATGTTAATGTGTTAATTAACTATTGCAATGACTTGTTATACACGGGAATATAAAAACCACGTCCGTTCCTTCATACACTGTAATATCTAATTTACTTTTAACAATGATGCAGTTTGTTGTATTCTGTTTATTAAATTACGCAGTAATTAAAAAAGTGCAGCTATTCGCGTCTAGTCCTTATTCTGTTCATTCTCTCATCTGTACAAAAAATAAAGGCAGTACCAGACATTATTATAATGCAGAATGTAGCTTGTGTGCTGGAGGCCTAATTTGTCCCTTTTATACACTTTTCCGCGAAATATAAGTAATAGATTTGGCAAGGGAGGGACATTGATTAAGCTAATCTCTATAGGTGCGTCCTCTACTCTGTTTTAAAGGTCGAATTAAAATGGTCGCTCGTTTGTCGCCTTAAAAAAGCGTGTAGCGTTCACTTAATTACATTTAATACTGCCGTTTTCCTATAAAATGATTGGCTTGTGGTCTATGTAATAATCGTATGTATTATAAAGGATATGTGCAATGTATCGGGCACTTTGACGGCGGGAATAGTGACCGGAGTGACACAGGATGTTCCCACCTAGTTTTAAACTCGACCCGGAGACGCGAGCCACTTGATAACTCGCCACCACTGCGAGACTTACATCGATAAAGCGTTTCAAATAATCGATTTTTTTCTTTGTTTTTTCGATTCAAATATAGAATTAAATTATTCAGATTGTTTTAATACTATTTTAAACGGGTAACGGATGGTTTAATGCAATTTGTTGCAACGCCTCTCGAGGAACAGTAGACATGTTGACAACCTTAAAGGAAGAAGTAAGTTTTCTTGCAGTCCCCTAAGTCGTAACTGGCATTGCTGAGGAGTACTATTAAATCTACAATGTCACTTCATTTTATTTCACACTTTTCTATACCTACTAATATTTCAAAGAAGAAAGATTTGTATTTTAGTATGTATTGAAATAACTCAAAAAGTACTGGGCTGATTTCAAAAATTCAGTCACCATTAAAAAGCTATGTTATCATTGAGTAACATCGGCTATATTTTTTAATATCACGCGGGCGAAGTCGCGAATAACAACTATCACTAATAAAGTAAAATAAAATAGTGTGGACACCACGTATGAAATGTACCTAGGCATATCGTTTCTTTTTTAACATAATTAAGGCGTTCAAATGAAATAGTCGACTAAAGAAATTATTTGTTACTGACTAACATGTTTGTAATTTCTAAGTCTATGCTAAAAGGTGTTTTTTTTTTTCAAGTTTTTAAACGTTTATCTCCTAGCATAAATAAGTATTCGTTGGTTACTAATATTTAGACTGGTAGCGACGTTTTTTTCTTCTTTTCGTTGGTCCGGAAGAGGGCCCCTTCTCACAAGCCATTCATAAATCATGATATTTCTGCTCACGTATTCAAATTTGTTTACTTGCCAACAGATGGCGTAATTTGAAACACCCCACATGAGAGACAAAACTAAGAAAGGGCTAATGTTATTATGGTTTATTTTTAAAAATTTGGTATGAATAAATTTTAATAAATAAGTAAATGTAACGCCTAAGGATACACAAAATACGCACTTAACTCGTGCAATTTAATTTGCAAATTGCAAACTAGGCTTGTTACAAATAATCATACTTCATACTAATACAATAAATGCGAAAGTTTAGATGGATGAATGGATGTTTGTTAGAGTTTGTAGTCTAAATGGCTGAATGGATTACAACGAAATGTGGTATATACCAAATTTATTTTAATAAATCTACATGGAAAGATTTAGATGTTAGTCTGGAAGAACAGATAGGCTACTCACTTTTGTATTTTTTTTAATTCCACGCGTACGGAGTCACGGGCGAAAGTTAGTAAATAAATATTACAGAGTAAAGATTTGTATTTTTGTATGAAACGCAAAAACTCAAAAAATATTAGACCGATTTGGAAAAATCTTTTACCATTATAAAGCTACAATATTACCGAGTAACATAGGATTACTTATTGATCGTTTACTTAGTTTTTAATAGGTTTTTTTAGTTATCTGTTTAGTAATTTTTATTGTAATAGCTGTTGTGTGACGGGATAGGTTCAATAGGGTAACATTACGAAATAACGAAGTTCAGAAAATATTAGTAGAAATTATATAAATAGAAATAGGAATAATTTTATTGAAAAACAAGAGATTAACAATTACAATAACAGTTATGCCAACTAATAAATAATTACAAATTTTGGTTAATAACCTACGTTTAATCTGGTGATGCCCACACTAGGCAATGCCTGTATCGTGGGCATCGAAAACAGCAGGAAAAATCTTTTCTTACATTAATTACTAAAAACCTACGCTTACGACGTTTCGGTATTATTTATGAATTATATATTGTTCCAGTATAAATGAAAAATAAATATGCAAGACGATATATGGTATATAAAATAAATAAAATAAGATGTAACAATAAAACTAAATACTTGAATGAGAATAGAAAATTGATTTTTACGAAAATATTGCTTTTTGAGACTCGTTAAAAATTTACTTCTAAACATTAAGTGCAATATTCATTAAATTAGTATAGGTACCTAATTGAGTTATTCACTTTATTATTTTCCAGTGTCGGTAAAAATGAGAGAACTAACACTCGATAAGAAACTTTTAATGTTAAAACTTTTTAAGTAACACTGTCTTGAAAAACAAGTCTTGGCTTTACATTTAAAAATGTACAAGTAAAAAAACAAAGTCCTCAAATGACCGACGTCGCCGTCGCAATTGCCCAGCGACAATCAAAGCGCGCTAATAAACTTTATTAAAATGGAAAACGATTGCGGTTTTTAAATTGCTATCCACTTTAATTTATTGTAATTTAGTATACATATTAACGACAGGCTTATCTAGATATGTATTTTTTATTCTACATACGTTACAGAGGATGATATGCCTATACAAGATATTTTTCTATATAAGACATTTTAAATGTTTGGTAAAGCAATTTACGGGGATAATATTTTTTGTTGAGACAAATTAGGTACCTGCTTTACCATATTTTGATTTCAATTGTTGTAGAAAATCAAAGATTTTTTTTAAAAACTTTTCTAAAAACTTAATTTTATGCACATGTTTATAAACGATTCAAAGTAGGAAGACGAGAAAAAATAAAAAATTATACGTTTTTATAAAATAATTGTTTCAAAATAATTCTATTCATAGCTATTCTGCTCTAGCACCCAGAAACCATTTGAAGTCAGAAAAGTCCAACGTCGTGTCTACTTATTGAGCGGATTTGTCGCAAGGAATTGCAGCGGTCTGTGACAGGAACGCAGTGAACATATATCGAGGTGCACGCAATGAACTCGTCATTTCGGCAAGTAGTTGCAGCTCGGCGCGGCCTTGTGCAACAAACTCTTGACGGCGGCAAGAAGCAGCAGCGGCGGCGACGGCAGGCGTCAGCGGCGGCGGCGGTGGCGCGGAGGGCGCAGCGACACAAAAGATATCGCGAGACCTAACGAGCTCAATTGATGAACGAACGGAAACGTGTCCAATTAGAAGGAGGCGGCGAGCGTCGCCCCCGCTCCCGCGCCCGCGCCGCCCGCGCGCCGCATTAACCAGATTAGCGGAGCGCGGCGCGAGGTGTGGCGCGGCGGACACCTCGCGCGCGGCGACACTCCGCGCGGCCCCGCCCCCCCGGCCGCGCCCGCCGCGCCCGCCCGCCGCCCGGCGCCATTGGCGGCGGAGGGTGTCGCGCGCGGCGCCGGCCGCCAGTCGCCTGACGCCCGCCGCGCGAGCGGCCGCACCGATACACGCGTCGCGCATCGAGCGCTCCGCCGCGCGCGCCCGTGCATGAGCGGCGCCCGCGCGACCGCTGGAGCCGCCGCGCACGCCGCGCTCGCGCTCGCCGGCCGTGGAGCGCGCGCCGTGGGCCCCGGGCGGCGCGGGCATGCGCTTCGAGGGCGCCGAGCGGCGCGACGCCGTGGCCTTCCACCCGCTGCTGGCGCCGCGCCCCAGCGACTTCTCGGTGTCTGCGCTGCTGACGGCGGGCGCGCTGCCGCCACCGCCGTACCTGCCCGCGGCGCTGGCGGCCGCCGCCGCGCTGTCCGCGCCCTGCCCGCTGCTGAAGCCGCCGCCGCCACCCTACGCGCCGCTGCCGCCCGACGACGACGGCGTCCTCGACGACCCCAAGGTCACCCTCGAGGGCAAGGACCTCTGGGAGAAGTTCCACAAGCTGGGCACCGAGATGGTGATCACCAAGAGTGGCAGGTCAGTACGGCCGGCTGCGCGCCACGTGACAAGTGTTGTGTGTGATACTATGTAGGGACACCGCGGTAACCGTGTTCCTCTTGAGGTGCGCTATGCGGTAAGTAAAGCTAGAAGCTTTCGTACGTTACAAAATCCGCGTCCGTGTAGGATACACGTTTCTGTTTACAACGCTACGCCTTCTGCATCAAACAGCGAGCAGTTTGATAGCTGTCCGTGCGTTTGCCACAGATCTGATAAGTTTCAATGTGGACTGATGAGAGCTGTGACGTGATTTAGCGTCAGCCGGTGCCGGCTGGACCGGTTCGCGCTGTGCGCCGCGGCAACACATTATGCGTGTAAACGGTTATAAATCTAGTTCGCATCGACTATTAAAGTGCTGCTTGGTGTAAACATGTCCATTTTTTCTTTCCGCATAAAGCAATCAAAGTTATAAATTATTCCTCGACTTAGTTAAAACATTAATCTAATATTTAACCACATTATTTATAGTTATACACATTAGAATTTATAATATCATTAATGATGTTAACAAAGACATATAAAATACAACATTTAAGTCTAAGTTTTTACATTATTTAGTGAGTTTTATTTTAATAGTGGGCAGAAAGGGTTGCGGCGCGCGACACATAGGCACATTTTTCATCAAAACATCGCACCCGTCGGCAAATGCACACCTATTCCGTCCAACACCTTTACTTCTTTAATTGCGGAAACACTGTCGTAAAAACGAATTATGTAACGAAATAAAAAAAAAACAGTTAAAAAAAAAACAAAATGTTTACAACACTATAATTAAATCATCATTCAAATGCTTTATTTCCAAGCAGTGTTTTTCAAAAACTCATGCGAAAGTTTTTGCAAGTAGGAGTGAAAACCTTAAAAAGAATCCAATAAGCAAATTATTAAGTAATAATTATTACTTATCTTAAACAAAACTGGTTTTAAAAAGTAGATCAAATTAGTCTTCGAGTATTTCCTGTTATGATTTTGCCAAATATTTACAATTAAGTTGCCGAGTTAAAACGGACGTAAAAATTGTTTCCTAATTTTTATAAACAATTTGTTGCGATAGGCTTATTTGTCATATTCAAGACCGTAGTTGTAGGTATAGCAATCATACAATCATACCAAATATTATAAATGCGAAAGTTTAGATGGATGGATGGATGTTTCTAAGAGTTTGTAGCGTAAACGGCTGAACTGATATCGATGAAATTTGGTATAGATGTAGAGGATAATCTGGAAGAACAGATAGGCTATTCAGTTTTGTTTTTTATTCCACGCGGACGGAGTCGCTGGCAAAAGCTAGTAAATAATATTTCTCTTGGCCAATTAATTTAAGCATTCAATTATTTATATCTTGTACAAATGTATTCTCAATCATAATTTATTTATTTCGACAAATCACACATAATTACTTTTCATACAACGTTTTTTTCAAAACAATATGTTTAACAAAACTTAATTAAGCTACTTAGTGTGGTGTTTTAGCTTTCAATATTAATTTCTTACTATCTTTTAAGCTTTCATATTAGGTAGTTAATCAATTATCACTGCTCCATGTTAATATATATTTGTAGTAAAATATACTCAAAGAAACTGTCTACTACATTTTGTAATTTATGCTACTATCTGCCAGTCAAATATTGAAACGATATTAAAATGTATAACAGCATCTTAAATGATAAGGTCAGTCTGAAACTCCAAATTCCATTAAATTTTTGTCCCAAAGATTGTAAGCGTCGCTTACAAAGCAAAGAGTTTGAAATTCGTTTCAGTATTTGGTCTCCAAAAGAAGAATTACTAAAACTGTTTTTTATTCATGAGTTTTTCACTATTCATAGAAGAAAATTAATAATTTTTACAAGCGTTTTACAAGCAACATTGGAGCACTGAAATTTACGATGCACAAATACTCTATTTGTACGAGAACATGTAGTAAAATTCTGACAGAAACACGCACGTAGTCTATAACAAATTTATTGACAGACATAACCGTAAGCTTCCACTATCAAAATGTATTGTCTTTCTCAAGCTTTACAAAAAAAACTTAACGAACTTTTTGACCGACTTCCCAAAAGGAGATAGGTACTACACCATTCGTCTGCATGTTTTTTTTAATTTTTTTTATGCAAAATGTAAATAACAGAATGACAGTTTGTTATAACAATACACCTTACCTCGAAAACATAGGTTAATAATGTAGTAATTAGTAGGATAAAAATACACATATAATTCAACATACTTTAAGTCTATATTTTGCTACTTATGGCCGGTTTCCCAAAAACTTTTAAAATTAGTTAGTGTTTTCGATAACTTCATGAAATGTATTTCTGTATTAGGTAACTTGAATTTAACTGCGTTGAATGAACCTAACACTATTTAATAGGTAATGATAAAATTAGTAGAAACTTCAGAAACCCAGTATTAATGTATGCTTGTTATACATTCTTACATGCATGTAAAAACCATACCTTGAGTAACTCGAGTATAGAGATCGTAGGTAAAAAAAAACAATTTCTCAATCTGCAGTTGATAATTAAAATAAATAAATTAAATTGGTCATAAAAAGAATAAAGAATATACCTATTATTAAGATTTTATACAATGTTCAATGTAAAGTGCTGAATAACTAGCAAATAAATTAACTGTCACTTTTAACTTTCTGTCAATTTGACAGTTTGCGTTTCACAAATAATTTGCAGGTTATGAAATGAACATTTGCAAAAAAGGCCCTTAATACTAAATTTGTCTATACAGTAAAGGGAATGGATTTAATTATTTTGGTATGAACAAACTCAAAAACTACTAAGAGCCTGTTCCACGATTGGCTCATAGCTGTGATAACTTAAAATGACGTCACTGATAAATAAGGTAACAAAATCCGATAGTATCTTTACATATTTTACACGTTGGATTGTTATCAGATAATTTACAATTTGGTGGGACAGGCCCTCTTTGAGTGAAAATCAGAAATGGGTGTATTTCCTAAATCTTATTATTATTTTATAGTAAAGTTAGTTTAGCTTTTGTTTTTTAATAGTATCTAGTATTACTTACTCAACAAAATTAACTTCAACGTGCATCCGTCGATATACTCAAGGGGCCCACCAAGGGCAAATTTTCATGAGCACCCTTAAAGATCAAAGAGCGGCAACTTTTTTTTCGAAGTAAGAAAACGACAAAGTGTAGAAGGAAATCTGCTAGAAGGGTTTTGTGAGAGGCGCCAGGTGATTTTCCCCGAAACCTTTGTAAATGTTTTCGTTTTTCTTTTCTTTGCCCGTTTCGTAAACTTTTGTCCCCAAACGTTTGCGTTTTGTTCTTTTGGAGATAGAGAAATTGTGTGTACAATTTTAATTTTAAACCTAAAGCGCATATTTTTTATGATATTTATTTATTAAAAAGAAACAAAAGTGAGTAGCCTATGTGTTCTTCCAGGCTATCCTGAACAATTGTGCTAAATTTCATTGAGATCTATTCAGCCGTTTAGGCTACAAAATCTAACAAACATCTATCAATCCAACTAAACTTTCGCATTTATAATATTAGTAAGATATAAGTAGAATTCAAAGATAGTGATAGCTAAATGCATTTCAAATAAAACAAAAGAATGCACACCTGACTACCATATATGTAACTAAAACGTTTTTGTTTATACCTAGTACTAATGTTATAAAATTGTAAATATTTGTATTTTTGTATGTATTGAAATAACTCAAAAATTGCTTGGCGGATTTCAGAAAAAAATTCACCGTTAAAAGTTACTCTATCAGTAAGTAACATAGGCTATATTTTTTTTTATTTTACGCGGATGAAGTCGCGAGCTACAGTTAGTGTGGGATATAGAAATGAACTCTTAAGAATTGAATCTTTACCTGCTTAAAAAAAGTATTACACGAAACTTTTTTAAATGTATATATTCCTCGTTATATTATACCTACGCCTGATAATTTAAAAGAACAAACAATATTTAGATAAGATATTAAAACTGGCTTGTCGCTTTGTCTCTTCGGAATAGTTTTAATAAGTAACAGACAGTACAAGGAAAAAAAATCAGCCATGTTATCACGGCTTCATAATTGTTTCCTTTGTAATTTGCAAATCTAACCTCTATTTAAAAAGTTACGCGTCGAGTCAACTGACTATCTTCTATTCTTGTGAACACAGATAGAAAATATAAAATTTTATTTTTTGTTCTTATCTGTATGCAGATAATTTTAAGTGTTTCGTGTCTGAAATTTTGACAGCCGGTCAATTTATTATACAATTTCTAAAAAAAAAAACTGAAGTTTTAATTTTCTCAACTATAAGTCGCATGCAATATTATTGTTTTAAACATATTTTAAATCTAGTTTAAAAAAAAAAACATACATCACTTGTTTGTAACAATATTTTTGAAGGGAAACAGTCGTAAACATAAAAAAAAAACAAAATAAATTTATTCCACAGGAACCATAACTATGTCGGGGATAAAAAGTAACCTATGTGTTCTTTCAGACTATGCTCTACAACTATACCGAATTTCATGAAGATCCGATAAGCCGTTTAGGCTACAAACTCTAACAAACATCCATCCATTCATCCAAAGCTATTAAAAATATAAATTAAACAAATTGAATCGTGCTTCTTTATTTTATAACTATAGGCTATTTTAATCTAGATGTATTTATGGCTAGACGCGTTGTGAGGTGCCCGCATCTCGCCTTAAGGTCTTAAGTTCTCTATCTAGGCTTGTAATCCGAAGTACCTAATGCGGGTAGTCCATTCTCTGTTACACACTCGAATCAAAGATATCTCTTATAACATCGAGATATAAAATAAAAGAACGATGATATCTGAGTTTTAGTGTGTAGGCGTTAGTCCGTTTGATAAAAATTTTAAAGGTATTTTTAAGTTAATGGTTGTTTATTAAGATACCAGTTTTATGATTTAAAAAAAGCAAAATTCAAAATACCGATTTGTTTTATTTGTTAGTAAGATGTCACAGCAGTGTCCCTGTT